ATATGTGGATAGAATAGTCTGTGGGGTAAATAGAGAGAAAAGAATCAGATTATGCTACCCAGGGGTACAGGTGGAGGATATAGCTGACTGAGCAGGATATATAATAAAGGGGGCTAGCAGAGATGCAGTTTTTGTGATGCATGTAGGGGATAATGAAGTAGGGAAAGGTAGGTCAGAGGAACTAATTAATAAGGAAAAAGGGTTGATAAAGGCATTTTAAGAAAGAGGCCATAACTTAATTTTGCCTAGAATTAATTGTGGGGATGAAGTTATAAGTAGGTCACTAGAGCTGAATGCTAGGCTCAGATTAGTATGTAAGGATGAGCAGATTGGCTGATTGGACTTGTGGGAGTTCTATGAAAGAAGGGAGCTTTTTGGAATGGATGGTTTACATTTAAGTAGAGTAGCAGCTGGCTTGTTTGCTAAGACTATTAACTCAGCTGTAAGGGAAGTTTTAAACTAGGAATAGACAGTGGTGAGGGATAGGAAAAACTAAATGCAAAAAGAATAAGAGGCAGAGAAATGTTTAGCATAAGAAAAGAGTATAGAAGTAGTTATAAAAATAGGCTTAATTGTTACTACTGTAATCCTAGAAGTATAAGAAATAAAATAAATAGACTTTAAAGCACTGGTAGGAAAGGAGGATTTTGATATAATGGAATAACTGAAATATGGTTATTTGTAAATTATTTGGTGACAGAAATTTCTTTGAAATACAGGGTTACAGGCTATTTAATAGAAATAGAATATTAAAGGGGGGGAAGGAGTGGTTTTATATTTAAAATGTGAGTTACATCCTTTTGAAGTTGAGGATATCAAAAATAATAGCAAGGACATTAAATCCATTTAGGTTTCTATTAGTGGATGTAAAGTGAAAAGGCTTTTGTGGGAATCTGTTACAGATCACAGAATGATACTGATGAAATTAGTGAGAAACATTACAATGAGATTAAGTTTTCAGCTGTTAATGAAGTAATAATTATTGGTGATTTTAGTTTCAGGCATATAGATTGGGAAATGCTAGAGCCAAACCATGAGGGAGAAAGGTTTTTGGAAACTGTTCAGGATGGCTTTCTTCACTAATTAGTCAAGGAACCTACTAGAAACAATGCTATTTTAGACTTATTGTTAACTTCAAATACAGAAATGATTGAGAGGCAGCTGAGTTATTTGGAGACACTGATCAGATGAGAAAAATTTTTAAATATTCAAGGTAAACATATTCCTTATAGAAAGAAAGGATAGCTGCAAGTAAAAAACCAAGTTGGCTCACAAAGAGTTTAAGACATAAAATTAAAGAAATGCATAACAAGTTTAAGAAATTTAAATTGACTGGTATGACAGGAGATTTAGAATATTATAGCTGATCACGAAAGTTGATGAAACAGGAAATTAGGACATTGAAAAGGATGTATGAGAATAGTTTGGCCGAAAATGTAAGAATTAACAGTAAGGATTTCTTTAAATACATTATGGGTAAACCAAATGTTAGGATGGGGGTAGGACCCTTGAGGAATGATAAAGGAAGGTTAGTATCTGATGATTATGAGATGGCTGGATTATTAAATTTTGCTTTGTGTTCAGTTTTTATTAACGAAGATTTAAGCAGTATTCTACATCTCGAATAGTTGATAAATGGAAATGAGATCAAACAAGATGACTGCATCAATTCTGAGCTAGTTACGGAAAACTTGGAAATTTAAAAAATTTTAAGGCTCCTGGGCCAGATAATATTTCCCCAAGGGTTTTGCAGGAGGTTAAAGATTGGATATGCGAGCCATTTACTACTATTTTTTGTCAGTCCTTGAATAGTGGGCATACCAGAGGATTGGAAGTTAGCTAATATAACTCCTCTTTTCAAGGTAGGTGATAAAAATCATTCCAATAATTATAGATCCATTAGTCTTACATCAGTTGTGGGAAAAGTTTTGAAAAGTCTGTTAAAAGATGCTTTGCAAAGGCATTTAACAAAGCTTAGAATTTTATTAGATGGTCAACATTGTTTCACTAATGAAAAATTTTGCCTTAAAAACCTTTTGACATTCTCTGAAACAATTACCGCTTATGTAGATAAGGGTAAAGGTGTATATTTGGTGTATCTTGATTTTCAGAAAGCATTTGACAAGGTGCCACATAAAAGGCATGAAATAAAAATTCTCTCTCTATAGATGTGGGGGATAAGTTAGCAAATTGGATAGAAGAGTGGCTGGATGGAAGAAAGTAGAGGGTTGTTACAAATGGAGTTCAATCAAACTTGATTAATGTCACAAGTTGGGTACCTCAGGGCTCAGTCTTAGGACCTTTGCTCTTTTTGATTTACATCAATGACACAGATGAAGACAGTCAATAAATTACTTAAATTTGCAGATGATATTAAGATCTTGGATGTTGTTAGCTGTGAAAAGGAAG